CTACACAGTACATATATTCAGAATCCTGCTCATACTATGCTTAATGATAAATGTATATTCCATTAGGTTCAACTGAATTTAAATATCTTGAAGTCCATTAGAGTTCAGCTTGATTATTTTCATCTCGAATCTTAAATAATTATGCTTACCACTTCTTAGGTACTGTATCCTAACTATTGTATCTCTTGTAACTCAAATATAAGTCGTTTGTATAAGGATCTTGAGAAAGAAAAGTTTAGGAATATATTTTGTATAAATTTAAGTCAAAATTAAAGTTCTCTAGTTACTTTAAGTAGATGAATTTCCCTGTTTCGTATATCTATTTCATTAAGCCTTTAATCAAAAAAGTATTAGAATAATATCCAACTACACTATACACTGATGATTTATCTTGACTAAAAATACAACTTGATATGATCCTACTTTAAGGAAGAAAAGCTGCATATGCCCAATAAGCTTTTCCAGTTATTCCAAACAGTGCTATTACACCTCCTCTACCACTTGCATAATCTTTTTGTTGATATTAATAGTTCCTGTTAGTTCCACAAATCAAGAAATTACCATTGGTATCGTCCATATCAGAATTTAAATGCTCAAAATCTCCATCTGATGCTGCAATTGCTTTGGGGAATAAGATGCCAGTGCATGAACTAGTAGATTCATTCCTTGGAACTTCTTAGAAGGATGAAGGCCATACATAAATAGGTATTTATACTGTGGCAGATTTATTATTGCTAGATTCTACTAAGATGTACCAAAGCCTAAAGCTTGGCTATAGTGTTGCTTTTGTTCCATCAATTGTAATGATATTATTCTTCATTGAGAGATATGGGCTATCTATTGTAGTCGATTTTAGTTCATTATAAATAGTTTTAATCTTAGAACTATAACCCTAGCACTGCTTTACTTGCAATGCATCTATCTGGTACATTCCAGTAGAACCTTATTTCATGCTAAACTCAGGAAGGTCAATCTCTGAAGGGGGTACATTAGCACTATCCTAGCATGCATACTTATATGATGCTGGAATTAATTGTCCTTATGTAGTAGTACTATATCCAAATGAAACAGGCATTCTTGAGGCATTTTAATAAGGATGAATTTAGACTGACCTTAAGAAATCTACTTAATAAGTAATGGTATTGTCAATCTATATAGAGGTATCAGCTTAAATATCAATAAAATTAGTGTCACTATCCTATATTAATCCAATATTGCTATCCATATTCACTGTAAATCCAGCACATTGGTACTTGGAACTTTCATGCCAGTTAAAAGAAAACTTATTTACTACAGGTTCTTATAATACCATGGAGCTATGCATCGAATCAGTAGTTGCAATAATAAAATAAGTGCTAGTTTGTACTACAAACTTTATTGTTAAGGAGTTATTTGTTGGCGGACTTGATAAAATTCTACCTCCATCAATTGATTTTAAGTCTTTATCCAAAAATATCAACTATCTTCCAAATAATGCATCAGTTTGTGACACTAGAATGATATTTTGGTTGCTTGGATTCTAAACTATCATTGTTCTTCTGATTTATTAAGTATTTGTAATAATCCTTACTTTTTATATCAATTAACCATCAGATGATAACTTTATGATTTATGAATCTTTTTTAATAGGGGCTACAATAATCAAAGTTTTATCAAATACGCTTTGGATTATATGAGGATTATTTGAAGATATTTTGTATTGAGCTGCTGAATGCCAAAAGCTTTTAGCCCATATTATTTAGCCAGTAACTGAATCAGCCTTAACAATTATTCCATCATATGAGCCATTTCCTGTATTGTTACTTTTATTTCTGATGAAACCAGTGAAGTAAGAGCAATTTTAATCTAAATCAAAAATAATAGATCCAGCTTAGTTATTAGCATCACTTTATGCTGATTAATCTTTGATGAAAATATTAAAAGGATTTGTTAAACTATCTCCATCATCTTCAAGCATAGAGAATGCAATAATATATCTTTGAGATAAATCAAGTCTATATTTGCTGAGCACTGCGAATCGACTTAGATGGAAGGGATCTCCTGCTATCTCATAATTATCTGCAAAAGCAAGCTTACTTTCAAATATAGGCATATCCATTTGAATTTTTCGAGCCCAAATAATCTTGCCTTCACCATAAGTCAACTTAACAATAGCTTCTTATGAATCAAAGAATTAATTATCAGTTCTAAATTGACAATAAACTTAGTTATTCTATACCAAAACACTATTTACTTATGATTGGATTTAACTTAAGATAACAATGAACCATTCAAGCCTACTTGTTTATGATAATCTCATTACGAAACCCTCGCTATAGTTACTTCCACCAAGAATTTTTTAAAAACCTCCCAATAAAAGATTTTCATCTTCTTTTATCAAGAATAATGAGAGTGGATAGATTTAATTAAAGTTGTAGCTGAATGCGAATGGATTGGTTGTGCATTAAGTTAAATTTGACTATGATAAAGAGATATTAGCTGAGTTCACTATTCTGATTTAAATGATTGTCTCAAGAAATATCCTTGCTTCGACTTAATATGCATCAATATATCTAACCTTAACATAATAAGTACCTGGATAGAAATTGACATTGTTGATCATTGTTGTATTGATACTAATCTTGCTTGTAACGTTATTGAATTTAACATAAGGGTAGAATAGAGTCTCATTCCTGTTTATACTGCATATCAAAATTATCATAATTGGTCTATCAAAGCAAATTGATTTATCTTTAAGTTAGTTGAGTTAAATCTCTTAAATTCCTGTTTAACGCACAAATTCATAAGTAAAGTCTGTTTCTAAATTTTTATTGATAATTGGTCCAGGTGAATGATACTTTCCGTTAAAAAGTTTTTATCTCATAACTGATAAGCCATTATCATTTCTTTTAACTTTGTTAGGAGAGTGGCTTTAAGTTGTCCAGTTTAAATTTGTAGATTTTTGCATTAATTAAGTTTCTAAATTCCCGTTTATGCCTGGACTAAACTCTGTTATCAAGGTATTTGGTGTGTTAATTATTGAATCAAGCTGAATTTTCCACATTTAATCAGTAGATTCAATATCTAAGTTTTCACCACTGAATGTTTAAAATTCTTCAAAATTTAGCTCACCATCAGATCTCATTATTGTTGATGAGTATTTAGCTTAAACTGTTTGTGTGCTAAAGAAATAGAGTAATTCATTATTATAGCTCTTTAAATTATGAATTTTAGCATTAAAGTAAATATCTCTGTAAATCTTATATTTTTAAGACTGCAAATTTGTATCTAATTTTGCAACCACTATTTATTTGTCTGAAAAGACTATATAAATATCTTGGTTGTTATTCATCACCTCAATAGCAATGTTCCCTAATATAAATCCTGTCCCAAATGATAGTTTTACCTATACAATTACTGTCATATCATTCTGGTTAATAATCTGGATGATAGCAATGTTTGAACCAATAGTCATATCTATAGCTCCTTGTATTATCTTATCCATGTTAAAAAATGTAGCATAAAAGAAACCTAAAGCTACCTAATTAACCTGAGTACATCTTGATAAAGCCTCTATAAGTCCAGTAGCAATGCTAATTTTATATGTTTAAATGAATAGATTAGGGACTGACTCAAATACATAGTAATAACCTGTGACTTAATTAACTAAATATGTCCTAGGTGTCGGATCTAAGAAAGTAGATTCTTAATACTAAGTATTATATAGTTTATACCATTGAGGTGATTCAATGATGTCATCATAGACAAGGGCAGCTTATCCTATTTACTTGGTCCCATAAATATAATATCTAAAGAGCACTAGAACTTTATTTCCTACTAGACCTTAGACAAAATCTCCCTATTGATCTGTGTTATTTGGTAGATTCGTAGAATAAATCAGCATTCCATTTGAATGCTTAAACTTTAGAAGTGCCATCTAAGCGGCTTAATAAATCTATGATGCTGTATATATCCAAAGAGGTTGAGCTCTTTAATCAAATAAAGCCACAAATCCTTGAAGCAATGAGGGAATCCCATCTGCAATTTTAGAAAATGGTAGTTTATCCGAACTTCCTGCCATTAATATATTACCGTAATCATCAAGGGTAGACTGCTATATTTAAACTTGGTATGATTCCCCCCAAAACAAGGGATATATTTTTTAACTGCAATTTTTGAAATTATGATCTGGTGCAGTAACATCTTTCACGTATTCTGATTTAGGAATAAAATTAGTTAAAAGATGTTTTGCTATATCTCCACCTCCATTTTTTGGGTCTTCACCTCCAAATAGTTTTGGGTATACCCCAATATATCTTGAACCTACATACTTCTCGTAATCTGCTGTTTAATTTATTGTCACATTTATTTTTGCAATCGTTAAATCAAACTTGAAATTAGTGTCTGAGGTTGAATTAAAGTAACTAAATTTGTCTTAAATTTAAAACTCTGTCCCTATGCAAGATTCAAATGTCAAAGTATTAAAGAGCTAGGATGGATCAAGATTGAAATCATAATTAACAATAGAATTCTATTTTCTTATCATAGGTCCAAGACATTGCAAATTTGATAATTGATGTAAGATAACTTTAGAAATATTTCCAGTGAAATAAAAAAGTTTTTAATCTGAGGTTACATCATCTTAAACATTAGTTTGAGAAGAGATTGTTATCGTTGGAAGATTAATAATTTTAAGAGCAGGTGCTTATTGAGTATTAATAGTCGTTCTTTATGGTGGTTTAAAATCTTCTGGAATGATACATGTAGTTATTGGATCTAGATCAACACTATATTTGTGCAAGAACAATTTGAAACCTTTTGAATAATATATTGGAGTAAGAAAGTAAAGCATATCATTCTTAGGAGCATACTTAGAAATATAAACTTTACTACCTCCATGAGTATATAGGAATTGCTATGATGAAAACTGTTTTAAATTTCCATATTTAATGGTACTTAATGTAAGATAATTGTACCTCAAAAAGTATGAAACAGTACCTTAAAAAACACCAATCAAGACAATTTCATTGTTGGGACATGCCTCAGCAATAATATAATTTGTAGGTAATATATAAATATAAGTAGCGGTAGGATAAAAACTAAAAGTTGCTATGTCTAATAGTGTTTATCGAAGAGTATCTTATTTATCAACAGTGAAAAATGCCAAGTCAATCAAATATTATTCATCATTTGATAAAAAAGACTTTGTCAATGCAGTATCCTTCTATGATTCGTAAGATATCTAATTAGTGGTAAGAGCATTGGCGTTTATAGAAAGCCAGGTATGAGATTGAAAAGTAGTTTTAAGAGCTATTTCATTTTGTGATTTTGATGAGTCAAGTATACCAGCAGAAATATAGAAATTATCATTTCCAAAAAAAAGCTAGTAAGCCAATAAGTTTGGATAGAAGTATGTACTATTTGAATCAATATAACTCATCAAAAGATTTTGAACTGTATTGTCATTATGTAATATAAGTAATCTTATTTCCTTTACGAAAGGGGTTAACTTAACCTAAGGTGAAGTCGTCTAATCGAGAGATGTCAATCTTAGTAAAATATATCGTAGCTTTGAATATTTAGAATCATACTTGAAATCTACTACCACTTCAGATTTAGAAGGATAAGGCGATGATCCAAGAAATCCAATTTTAAAATCTCTGATTTCGTTTCCAGTTATTTTATCCATTTCGACTACTCTCAACTCATCTGAAGCTGAGTTCACAATTGCAGTGATCATATTCTAAGAAAAAATTATTCCTGTTTTATAGATTTATTTATAGGCTAATAACCCAACTTTAAACCATTTTATTTGTCCAATTTAATCAATCATAATAATTCCAAATGCAAGAGCTGATTCGTTATTAAGTTTGTACTCTATAAATTTAGGATTACTCGCATCATACTTAGATATGCTTTGTATTTATACAGAGACAATGATAAGTTAATCATCATCATCAACATCAAATCCTTATTCTTCTATCTTCAAATCTATATCCAAATCATGGAAAAATAAAATTGGAAAAGTATTAGTGGAATCCATACATACTTATAAATTCCCTATATATATTAGAAATTCGAATTAAAAATTTTTAAATTATTACTAAAATTTTAATATTTAGAAGGAAAGAATTCCTAGTATTAGGTTTGACTTTCGCATGATTCCTTGTCTGAAGATTTCAATCTCAATCTCTGATCCTAAATCAGATTAATTAAACAAGATACTTACATTTCGTTAATATTCAAGATTTTATTGATTTGTTAGAATGTTTTGGGTTGAGATATTTGATCATTCTTGGACATCACTAATAGTTTGATTCTGATTATGATTCATTTCAGGTATAGCTTATGAGAACTCTCTCTTATGATTAATATCATCTGCTCTGACTTTAATAAGAAACTAATCCAGGTTATTGCTTATCAAGATTAGAATCATCAGAGTCCTATGAAAATTTGAAAATTTTATGGTCATTCTTTGGTTGCCAAAATGTTTATATATATTTAATTACTATAGTACTAGTTATCTGATATTTAACAAATGCATATTATAAATTTAAACCTTTAATATTTGTTCGAATTTTTAGAAATTATTTTCATAATCATACTTCTATTTAGGTATTATGGGGTTTTGGGGTTTTGGGGTTTTGGGG